CATCTATTGGATGTCGGGCAGGGGGGAGGGGGGGAGGGGACAGGTATTTGCATACACAAAGAGTGCAATGCGCACCATCCAAGGGATGGGCACACTTGAAACTCGATCTTGGGGGGGAGTGGGGAGGCAAGGGCAACATATGTAACCTAAACATCTGTACCCCCATAATATGCTGAAAAAAAAAAAGAAATAGAAAAAAATATGTACATCTTTTAGACAGCATAAAATTAGGCATTTCTGTTTTATCCAGTTTGAAAATGTCTGCCTTTTAAATGATGTATTTAATCCATTTGTCTTTAATATAATTATTGTTATGCCTTAGTTGTTAATATAATTATTGTTAGTTGTTTTAATATAATTATTGTTATGCCATCTTGTTGAATCAAATAGTTTTTTAATGTTCCATTTTATTCCCTCTATAGGTTTCCTAGGTATACGTCTTTTTATTTAATTTTTCAGTCGTTGCTTTAAGACTATATTTTTACAGTGTGCATCTTTAACTTATCAGAGTCTGTTCTGAGACAACAATGTGCCCCTTCATGTTTCCCACCTTACACTTGACACTTTGTATATTTCCTGCTTTATCCTCTTCTTTTCTTTATAACTGAATCTTCACGCTCCAAACTTTGCACTTTACCTTATGAACATGTTGCAAATATATGATTCCACTTATCTGCACCCACTGTCCTTTGTGTGACTGTTTTCATAGCTTTTCCCTCTTCATATTATATATTAACAAATCCCAATTTATTATTTTTGTTTCAAACAATTGTGTTTGAAATAATTTGAGAAGAAAGAAAACATAATATTTTATGTTTTCTGCACAATTTTTTATGCTCTGTACAATTTGCAGCATTTCTTTTCCCTTAGTGTGGATCTGAGTTTCAGTTAATATCCCTTCACCCTGTATGACATTTTTAAGCATTTATTGTATTGTAATTTTACTATGAATTCTCTAATTCCATTTACCTAAAAATGTCCTTCAAGTTTTTGAGGGATATTTTCTATGAATTTAGAATACTAAGTGGTCTTTTTTTTTTAGCACTTTAAAGATATTGCATTATCTTTAGTTCTCCACTGTTTCTCATATGAAATTATTGAATATTTTTATCTTTTTTCTTTGATATATAATGTGTCTCCTCTCTGGCTGCTTTCAAGAATTTCTTTTTACCTTGGCTTAAAGTAGCTTAAAAACAAGTTGCCTGTTTGTTGTTCTTAACAATTATGCTAATTCTTTTTTTTTTTCTTTTTAGTTTTTGGAACTGTAAGCAGGTGGTTTGCATTGAATTTGGCAAGTTTTTGGCCATTATTTATTAATATTTAAAAATGTTTTGTACAAAACTCACTCTTTTCTCTTTCTGGAGCTCTAATTACATGCATGCTAGACTGTGTTATATCGTCCTACATGTCCCTGGGGCTCTGCTCATTTTCAAAATCTTTTTATCTTTTTATCATTTTATCAATGTCATCACACTGAATAATTTCTATTGATCTGTTTTCGTGTTTACTAACTCTTAATTTGCTTTATCCAATGTGCTGAGAAACTCATCTGATAAATTTTTCATTTCTTTTATTGTAACCTTATTTTCTCCAGTTTCCATTAGGTTCTTTTGCACAGTTTCAATTTTTCTGTTGGGATTCCCTATTTATTCAATCTCTAAAACCACATTTTTCATTAATTTAATATGTTGATAAGACCCACTTTAAGGTCTTTGTTTGCTAAGATCAACAATGTCTCAGGTGCCATTTTTATTTCTGGTTTCTTCTTCTTCACTACAAATTACATTGTCCTATTTATTTCTTACTCCCCATTTCTTTGCATGTCTTGTGTTTCAATAAATTGAATACTGGACATTACAGATAATCGGTTGTACGTTCTAGATTTTGTAATGTTCCTCTGATGAGGATCGGTTCTTGTTTTAGCAGCAGTTCAATTGCTGCCGTGAACCGGTGTGGGCTTGGTTTTATTCATTTTTCTGTGTTGATCCATAGAAAGCCCAGGGTGTTTTCTTTCTAAGGCCCTTGGTGAGACTCAGTCAGCCTGCAAACTCTGTCTCCCATGCAGATCTCACAGGGCTTGGTTTTAAGCGTCGTTAGGGCTAGTCTAGGTAGCTCTTCCTGTAAGTCATGGGCCTTACTCTTTACGTCTCTTGGGTGTCGCTGGGGCATATCAAGTGTTTTAAGGTGGTGTTAGAAGCTCTCTGCACTTTGGCAGGGCAGGAACTCAAACATCCCCTGTATGGCTTTTTCCTGGCTCTGGTCAACCTCTAGTGTCTCTGTTTTGCTTTTAATGCCCTAAAAGCTGCTATCTCATATGCCTTGCGTGTTCTTGCCTCGCGCATGTACAGCTCATCTCTGAGCAACAGACTAGTGGAGTCCCTCACATGGACCTCTGAAGCTACCTCTCTACACAGCCACCTCCTCTCCAATGACCCACCACACACATTCCAGAAGCTTCAGCTGCCCTGGTCTAGGACCTCTGCCTCCTCAATTCAACAGGACTTCCTTGCTTTGCCCAGACTGTGGTCAGGAAATATCCCTCTGGCAGAGACCTGGGCAATAAAGAGCCACCTCAGGAGTTTTGCTTGTCTCTGGAATTTTTTATAGTCTTCAGCTGCCCACTGTCTACCTCCCAAAATCAGCTGCTTGATATCTTTGCTTTGTATCAGCATTCCATACATTGGGAAGATTTGTCTGGTGCTATTTATTCTATTGTGGCTAAAAGGAGAACTAATTGATTCTTAATTAAGACATCAACGATTAAGAGTGTTGATTTTGGATTAAATGGAAATAGATCGTAGTTTCTAATCTGTATGTCCATTGGTTTTTTTCAGTTTCTCAGAGTCTCAGTTTCCTTATTTAGAAATTGGGAATAATACCTACTGCATAGGCTATTATTTTAAGAAACAATAGTGTATATAGATGCTCAATAAATGTTAGCTATTTAATGTTCCTTAGTAAAACTATTTATATAACTTGCGATTTTATAAATTTTTAAAATTTTAATCTTATTCCACAAGAGAATGGAGGTCTGTAGAACTGTATTACCTCTAAATTAGCCCTGACTCTATGACTTTAATTATTTCAGAAAGTATATTTTTGTTTTAGAAAACATTTCTAAGAGAGTTTAAAGAATTCTCTATGGAAAAGTAGGCAATAGTTCAATAATGTGAAGAGAAATGAATTTCAACATGAAGGACTAGCTAAAAGCTATGCAATATTATTGAAAACAGAAGATATGGAAGCTTTCACACTCTTTTAGAGGTTGTTAGTTTTTAATTATCTATGCAAGAGTAGAGACTTGGGGAACGTCTGGTCAGATAGTGACAACATAGTTTATTTTCAATATTGGAATGTGTTGTTTAGTTTTGGAGAAGATTTACCATCTTCATAATGTTGAGTTTGCATTAACATTGGGTGTCCCACCCCCAAACAGTTAATTATTAACAATGATACACATATGGAAAATTGTGAGAACTGACCACATTGAGAATACTCTAACTCATTAAAAAGGATGGCTCCTTAATTATTGATTGACTATATAATGGATTATAAAAATGTAGAGCAGAATTATCTTATTTGCAACTTACATAGAAATCAAAAGAAAGTAATGAGCATTTATTGAGGGTTCATTATGGATCAGAGAATGTGATAAATATTTTACGTGTTAAGTCACACACTCGCAGATGCAAGTATAATTATTTGGTTTTGCAGACAAGGAGCCTGAGTACGAGCGTTTCTCTCTCCCGTTCAGACAGCTGGGAAGTGATGAGGCGAAGATTTGAACGTAGCCTTGTTTGACTCTACAGTCCCTGCATTTTCCACTTTGTCACGCCATCCTTTTTGAATAGCAGGCAAGTTTTACTTACCACAGACATTTTCTTCTTCTGGCCTTTTCCCAATAATGCAATCTCGTAGTTGGCGTAGTTTTTCCTTAATGAGGAAACAACCAGGAAGCACAAGTCAAGATTTACAAATGTTTTATGGATCAAGATGAAAACATCAGCCACTGTTGGCGATACCAACCCTGCCACTTAGTATTAATTTACTACCTATGATGTCCCAACTGTCATTCTTGATACTTTATATGTATTACCTTACTTAATCCTTGCAACTTAATGAAGTGGATGTAAAATGTCATCATCTCATTGTACAAATATGAAAACAGAGGTACAGAGAAAGAGAAGGAACTTTCCCAAATGATAAGGTTGTAAGTGGTAGAGTCAGTACTGGATCCCAGAGGCCGAATGTTTTGGAAGACATTTTCCCAGTGTCATGCTCTGGGGGTCTTCACTGGTTATTTAGTGTCCACAAGCAGAGGAACGACACAGTGACACTCTGTTGCTGCCTGAGCCCATCTCCAGTTTCCATGGGGCACGATCCCTCCTGAGGGTCTAATTCTAAAAATTAGAGACTCAGAAGCCAGTGATACACAACTAGATTCCCCTTCATAGCACATTTGTGATAACTTTTTGTTTTTCAAATATTCTACATTGGATATTATCTTTTAGGCAAAAAGCAATACAAGCTACCTTTCAATAAATCCCCTTTTAGAAGACAACCTAAAAGTAGCACTTTTTCCTCAGGGTTTCCTGGGAAATCCAGAAACCACATTTCCCATTCAGTTGTTTCCATTGCCTTACAGACCCTCTCCCGAGAGTGGGGCCGAGAATGTCTTCGGGTGCTCTGTGACTGCGGGTAGGAGTGAGAGGAGGGAGAAGGAAAAGGTTTTCACCTTCTCCGCCATCTGGTCTTCAACACCAGCCATTCTACACGGTTCTTCATCATTCTGGAAACTAGTTTCCACCGTTAACTCCATGTTTGTGCCATTTTTTAAATTCTAGTTGCCTAAGATAATTCCTCCATCAAATCCAACAATACTAATATAACTTCACAATTACTGCTGATAGACTCACTTCCAGGATACAAATGAATACTTTTGCAAACTGCAAGAGGAATAGTGAAAAGTAAATGCGAATAAGTATGTGTATGTGTGTGTGTGTTTGTTTTTGGGAAATGAAAAGAACATTCATCTTTTTGTTCCTTGGACTTTGGCCCAGGCCCCTATTTTAAGGACTGGCTGATCCCTCTAACAGTATTCAGCCAGAGTCTCTGAATTTTTGGCTCTTATGGAAAGTAGTCTTAGTGTGTCTGTTGGCTTGCATTTGCAGGTTAAAGAAAAATAATTTTTCTAAACCCTAATATATTCAGCATCCCACCTGTATTTCTTGTGAAAACAAAACACTTACAAAGAGTCTAGGCGCTCCACAAGGGAGAGAATGTTCCAGAAGGAATTGGGGTCAGTATTACCTGCTGAATCATTTCCAGGCCACTCTTTCCCATCTGCCAGTGCTTAAATTTCTCCAGGGCTTCGTCCACAGACATTTTCCCATTCTTGACTTTCTCCTGCAGGAGGATGAGTTCTTCCTGCCCAGCGGTCAGACTCTCCATCCGAGCTCTGTCTAGGACACGAGGGAAGGGTGTTTTAACATGAAGTCCACATGTGGACAACAGGGGAAAAGCACTGTAAAAAACAAGACCTGGGAGTTTCTTCTTCTTAACACTGTTTATAAGCACCTGTGAAATAAACCAGCACACATCTTTTAGTGAATTTTTATCTAAGGATGGTGGTGCCTGGCACCTCGTGTTATGAGTAAGAAGATTGTGTCTTATCACTTAAAAACAGAAAGGGACAAGGAGAACAAAGGACAGTAGCAAAAGTTCTGCGCTGTACTACCTGAGGGCAGTGCCAATTTCCTATTCTTTTTGTGAGGATAGAAACAAATCATGTTTACAAAACACTTGGCATAGTGGCTGCCACATGGTAAGCTAAATACGTATTTTTTTTTTTTTTTTTTTT